ATAGGCTAAGACACCAATGTAATGTGGATGTCCTGCCAGTTACCAAGTATGTATGTCTACTGGTACTGTTCAGGGAGCAGGAATACGATGAATGAGTGAGTCAGGTTCCTCAGCAAACAGACTCTGAGATAGAGTTCTGTGTTCAGAGAGTTTAGTGAAGAAAGCTGTCAGCAATAACACCTGTGCAGAAATACCGGCAGCAGCATTTGGTAGAGGAAGTTTAATTATGGTACAGTTGCTGTAAAAGCCTCCACTGATTCCACAGGGGGCTTTGAAGCTGAGACCACCCTTCAGAGTTGTAACACATTGAGGCAAAGGGGCCGGGCCCTTATTCTCTTTCATCATTGAATTCAGTGTGCCCCAGGGGAGGCAGCTCCCATAGCAAGAGGCAGCTCCTTTCAGAGGAAGGAAGTTTCTGGGGAGGAGCTCAGCCCTGGGGCAAAGCAGGCAACACCCACAGCAACTGGGGAAATAAGTACCACCATCCTTAAGAGGAGATTTTGGTGGTTAGTGGTAACATCCACTACTAAGGTTGCTGGATTTGGCAAGTAAAAAGCAATAAATAAAAATATCGCATGGCATACCTATACTGAAAAGATACTCGTTACTTACTTAAATTTCAAATATAACTGAGTATTGTCTATTTTATCTGGCCACTCTGTCCACTACACATGTATTAAAGGGCAAGTAGGAGAAAGAATTTCAAGGGGATTAATGCATTTCTCCTTTTGTAATCTTATACTTTGTACAGTAGAAATCCCACATGGACATGAGAGACCAAAAATAAAAATTGGTTAACCTCAACAATTTTTGTTCCACTCACAATCCTGACTTGGTCTAATTATAGGGATTCAATGCCGCTCACTACTTTTTACCATAGGAAGCAGAAATAGGCTTAGAAAGAACACTAGCAGTTTTAAGGAGGGCGGATTGTGAGAAAGAGAGCACACAGTATACAGACAGGGAAAGAACTAGAGCAGTGGCGGTGGGAATGAAAGGGAAGAAATGAGAAGAGACGCCCCTGAGATAGATTCAGAGAATTTACTAACTGTATGATACAGAAATACAGGAGGTGAACAGTATCTAACAAAATTGTATGTTCTTGATTTTAGGTAACAGGAAAAAAAAGAGAGGATATGGTAAAGATACATGTAAAACAAAAACATAATAGGTTTGAAGGGAGAAATTATACATTTGACATTCTATTCATCTGAATGTATAATATATGTGAATGCATTAACTAATATACTATACCAAGCTGTTGATATTGGTCAAGTGATCATTTTCCATTAAACATATTTACCTGAGACTTTATAGATATTTTTAACCACCTAGCATTTCTACAAGCTGTGCACAGGATGTTAAATTATACTCATAATTCTATTAGCTATTAATAATTATGTCCTGTAAACACTAATTTTCAAATTTAAAATCTTAATTGAAGGAAGAGTTTATAAAATGTGTGTTTTTCTTAAACAGCAATTCCTAACTCTATTTTATTTAAAATAAATATCTATGTGTATGTTTTATATACACTACTAAGAGTTCTTAAAATGTGGAACTCTGGTCTTTTTCCTTAATTACAAAAAAGGAGAAACTCCTGCCCACATTACACTCAGCAATGCTGTCTTTCTAACTGTCACTCTCCCCTTTACCCAATTTATATTATGCTGTCAGTTGATTTTTCCCCATCATGATATTCAACACATTGTCCCTGCATTATTTTCTGATTCAGAGTAATCAATCCAGGAACCACTAACAGATCTATTAATTCTTTGTGTGCATCACGGCAGAATCCTGGATAGCATCCTCAGATGCTAGGATGTTTATCTACTTAGTATGGTCTGGGAGCAGAACAAATACTGAGAAAGTCAAAATAAATAAGTTTTTCCTATTTTAGTTCAAAATTCTAAAATGTAATGTTACATTTCCATTCTATGATGTTAATTTTAATCGCCAGTGACTTAGTGCTTAGTGACAATTATTCATTTCTGGGATTAAAATGCCCACTATAGACATCAATAAACAGAACAAAATCTGACTTATCCAGTTGTGTTTGCCAATCAGAAATCTATTTTAATAAGCATCATACACCCTCACCTGAGTACCATGCCCAGTAAGAGAAAATGTATGTAACACACGTCGATATAATAATTAGAATAAACATATTAAATCCTATTTTTGTACTATGTATTTTCCAACCAAAGGGAAAATTCAATATTTTATTGTAATTATTTATAAATTATCCACTGTTAACTTTCAATAATCTGTGTGCAGATTATCCATCACAATCTTTAAACCCAAGATGGCTTTTTCCTGCAATTATGTTTTTAGAATAACTTCTTGCTTTATTGAGTTTTCTTACATGTGCTTACTGAATACAAGTATAGCTTAAGCCATGACATGACCTAAGTAAGAAGGTAAATATGCTGCTGGGGAAAAAATGTAATATAATGGCATTTCAATTCCAAGGAGAAATTATCTTTATAGTCTCCATTATCAGTTTAGATTTTTCAAGTTTCTGCTCCCTTAAATTTATGTAATGCATATGGATAGCATAGCAAAACTCTATGCCCACCCAGTAAGTATAACCTTCCTGGACCTGCATATTTTCTGTGCACCAAGCAAAAACGTCAGGTACTGAGTAGGTATAGTTGTTGAAAGTTTACTCTAAAAATTGTATCAATTCTCCTGTTGTTTAATTGTTGTAGCTAAAGATAAGACCTAAGAACTATGAATTTCACGGTAATTTAATTAGTTACCTGACAATTCTTCGGAGGAATACTCCTTACTTCTCAGTTGTGATGAATTATTAAGAACTAACTCTGATTATTTTTACTTAAGATTACCTGGGTTTTATTTTTTAACCAAAAGATGAAAAATATCATATACCTTGTATCCCACTAATAATAATTTCTGCTTAAAAATTAAAATGAAGCAATAACATGTATACATTAAATTGTGGTTCAGTAGTAACTGTCAAGACTTATGTAAGTCTTATGCCAGGTACTATTCTAAGTATTTTTCCCTTAATTCTTATAAAAACTTTATGAAATATATTCCATTGTTACCCTTATTTTATTTTATTTTTTAAATTTAAATTTTTTTATTTGAGCATAGTTGACACACAGTATTACATTAGTTTCAGTAATTATAACATAATGATTGGACAAATTTATACATTATGCTATGTGTATAGCTACCACCTGTCACCATACAATGCTATTATGGTATCATTGACTATATTCCCTATTCTGTGCCTTTTATTCCTCGACTTACTCATTCCATAACTGAAAGCCTATATCTACCACTCCCCTTTACCCATTTTGCCCCCTCCACAAACACCAGTTTGTTCTCTGTACTTACAGCTCCGATTGTGCTTTTTGTTTGCTTATTTATTCATTTGTTTTTTTAGATTCCACATATGAGTGAAAACATATCTTATTTAGTGTGAGTTATTTCACTTTTTGCCCTCTAGGTCCCTCCATACTGTCACAAATGGAAAGGTCCCATTCTTTTTTATGGCTGTGTAATACTTGTGTGTGTGTGAGTGTGTGTGTGTGATACCTTCTTTATCCATTTGTGTATCGATGGACAATTAGGTTGCTTCCATATCTTGGCCACTGTTATCTTTTTTTTTCAAAAAAACTTAATTTACAAAAATGGCTGCACAAGCTGTAGTTTGCTGATCTAAAAAAATTCAAGTATTAATCTTGATTGCCAAGTATCTTCGTGCCCCTTTACATTTTACACTAGAAGGTAGTGCCTCACTAATCTTACCTGGTGCCACCTCTGCCAAATTCCCTCAGTTTTGGGGGACATGGAAGTGGACTACATCTGGAAAAGACCCTGATTATGGTCTGAGTTCTGCCACCAGCTGCCTGAGTGACCTTGGGCCCATCATGCCCCTTCTCTTCCTCTCAGTTGCCCCTTGTAGAATTAGGGAGAGTCCAACTACATTATTTTTTTTTAATTTTATTATGTTATGTTAATCATCATATAATACACATTAGTTTTTGATGTAGTGTTCCATGATTCATTGTTTGTGTATAACACCCAGTGCTCCATTCAGTACGTGCCCTCTTTAATACTCATCACCGGGCTAACCCATCCCCCACTCCCCTCCCCTCTAGAACCCTCAGTTTGTTTCTCAGAGTCCATAGTCTCTCATGGTTCATCTCTCTCCCTCCGATTTCCCCCCCTTCATTTTTCCCTTCCTTCTCCTAATGTCCTCCATACTATTCCCTATGTTCCACAAATAAGTGAAACCATATGATAACTGACTTTCTCTGCTTGACTTATTTCACCGTTGTCCTTATCTTAACAACTGAGAAAACTGAGGTGCAGAGAAATTAACTGGCTGAAGTTTCCATAGCACATAAGGGGCAGAACCGGTATTTGAATCCAGTGCAGTTTGGTTTCAGATCCCATACACTTAACTACTAAATCATACTACCTCCTAGTTGACTTATCTGACTTTCTTCCTATTGAAAAGAACATACTCAAATGGTGCTTCCACCTCTCTCTCATATATATCTGAGTAAAACTCGAATGCCCGTTGTCTTTAACTCTCTTCCAGTGACAGCCTAGTCTGACAGCATAGGCAGGATTAGATGCCCTTCCTGTCCTATTCTCCCCTCTCATGTAGCACCTAATATGCTGGTCTGTCATAGATTTCCCCCACTGATGGTAATTCCTGACGCAATAATTATTGAAAGACTGGCACACAACACAGCTCCTGGAAGATAGTACATGTTCAATAAATGTCTGTTGGATGAATGTTTGTAGGTCTTCCCATTGGCATTTTAGGCTGCGTCAAAGCAATCATATCCACAACTCACCACCACCACCATTACTCCGATTATCAACATTTGCATTTCTCCAGATTGAGACAAATTTCATATTTCTCTTTGAAATCTTTAAGATTTTTCTTTGAAGTTTCTTTGAAAACTTTAAGAAAGCATAACAAAAACTATCCCAAGGGGGAAAAAAGGTCTTACCTTCTAAATCTTCTTTCTCAAAGTGTGTTTTGAGAATAGAACGAGTTCCACCTCTATCCACAACTGCCTCTTCATCATTTCTCTGTAGAATGGGAAGAAAGAAGATTAAATGATATTACAGTAGTTCCTCTTTATCCATGGGAATACTTTCCAAGACCCCCTGTGGATGCCTGAAATCGCAGATAGTACCAAACCCTATATAAACTATGTTTTTTGCTAAACATATATACTTATGATAAAGTATAATTTTTAAATTAGGCACAGTAAGAGGTTAACAATAATAATAATGAAATAAAACACTTAAAACAATATGCTGTAATAAAAGTTATGTGAACATGGTCTCTCTCTCAAAATATCTTATTGTACTATACTCACCCTTTCTATAATGATATGAGATGATAAAATGCCTATGTGATCAGATGAAGTGAGGTGAATAATGTAGGCACTGTGACATAGCATTAGGCTACTATCGACCTTCTGATGGTATGTCAGAAGGAAGATCATCTGCTTTCTGGCCATGGTTGACCTCAGGTCAATGAAACCATGGAGAACAAAACCACAGGTAAGAGTGGACTACTATACATATATTCTCTTAATTTCAGAGAATAAACAATAATATAATCTAATATTTTAGGGATTTAATTCAATCACTTAAACCTACTTGTACACAACTATTCTATTTGATTATCAATTGTTAGTTTAAAAAGAAAGAGACTAAAATTAAATTGACCACATATTCAGAGAAGGAATGTCATTTGATTTTCCATGAAATCAAAGGTAATCATACATTCCAGTTGCCATCATTTGTTAATGAGATGTAAAACAGAAAACAGTTATCCTGACAATTTAGTAACATGCATTTTTATCTCTGATAAAGAATTCTTGTTAACAAGATGACATTTTGAACTATACAAGGAAAATATGGAAATCATTAGTATTAACACTACTAATGCTATGGCAAGGTGAACTAATTCCACTGCCATTTAAAATGAGGTTGGGGGGATCTAATCTCTTGAAAGCAATTAGTAGCAATTATTAGGTAAACTACAATTTTAATTACTTTGCTTCAGTATAATATATTTTATTCAAACTAAACTTTTAATTATAATCATATACATTAAGCCTTCATTCAGTATGTATATACATATGTATATTTTACTTATTTAAAATGGCTGGATGGAGACTCTTTTCTTAACATTGTACATATGCTCAAAACGATACAGTCACTCGTTTGGTACTCAATAAAATAATGGGGGAGGGATAAGTATAATCCATTTAACCATACAGGAATGAAGAAGATACAAAATACTGAACAAAGTGAAATACAGATTATTTCCAAATTTTTTTGATTGCGAACACGTATGTAAAAACTGCCTTAAAAGTGAACACTGAACACAAAGGAGAAATGAAAAGGTAGACTGAAGATGAATGAATCTTCCAACATCTATTTCTAAGCCTGTTCCAGTATTTGACTAGCAGAAAAATTATAGATTTCTCTTTCTTCTTTGAAAGCTTTTTAATTCCCAGGCATAATCTTGATAAAGATTTGGCCTCCGTGTCTTACAAATCAGTATTGTCAACTGTAGGATTACCGACTACAGACATATTTCAACCTAGAAATATCAGCTCTTATGTGCTTCACAAGCAGCAAAACATAAGTAGAATAACATGTTTTATACCCTATAGTCCTGTGTCTTTCAGACATTTGCTGAGACAGGTCAGGGCAAAGTGTCTGAAATTGGAGTGAAAGAAACCTATACTACAAATGAAGGAATAAATGAAAATTGAGATAGGATTCTGAGCCTACTGCTTTTGTGTTTAGCAAAGTTTTAAAAATCTGTCGGTCTGGGTGCCCAGGTGGCTCAGTCAGTTAAGTGTCCGCCTTCAGCTCAGGTCATGATCCCAGGGTCCTGGGATCAAGTTCCGCATTGGATACCCTGCTCAGTCGACAGCGGGCCTGTTTCTCCCTCTGAACCTCCCCCCGCCTGTGCTCACTCTCTCTTTCTTTCTCTCGCCAAAAAAAAAATAAATAAATAAAATCTTTTAAAAAAATCTGTTGGTCTGAGCAAAATAGCAATGGAAAAAACTACAGAATTATATATTTATATAATTTTCCTGAACCAGACAAATGCAAGTTTCAGCCTCTTGAGAATCTATTCTTGATTCATTTACAAATCACATTTATCCTCTGTACAGGACATATTCAAATATATGTCACATTGGAATGTATCTCTGCCCTTGGAGTGTTATTAGGAAGAATGCCAAAAGCTAAGTCATGCATCCATGTTCAGAGGTCAGAAGAAGCACTATTCCACTCTATCTTATAATGGCAGCCTCTTAAAACAATTGCAAAATGGAAAGGTTTATATAAAATATAAGAAGATGTTTCCCCCTATACAATAAAATATTTAATTCTTATTTCAAGGGCCTGAATCAATTTTCAACTTATACAAAATGGTTTTTCTTCTTATTTTTATATGGCATATAAACTGTCTACACACAAAAAATAATTCTACACAATAGCTAATGTTAGGATATTGAGATAAAAGGAAATTTTGCAGCAGAAGTAGAAGTGGAATCTAAATAGGAAATAGTTGATTATTTAATTACATTATGAATTACAAGTAGAAGTGCCCTAATTTTAATGTTTCATTGATTAAAAAGAAAGAACTTGAAACTAGAATATGAATGTAACTCAAAGTAAGTGACTCATTCTGCAGTTTTATATAACTTTAAATACTCTCCAGATAGGCCATAGAAACATGAAATGCATGATCTTTTATCCTGAAAATTCCCAAGATACAACTTAATACCAAGACATATACTGAAATTCCTCTACTTTGGTTATAGTTCAAAAGCTTATTTCAATATTATTAAAGAATTTTTAATAGAGTACTTCCCTTCCTCCTTATTACCAAGAGCGAGTAAACATGGGCGTGATGAAGAGAATCCAGGCTGTGCGATAATCCCAAATACACCAGTAAGAAAATTTTTATTTCACTTTTTACTGCCTCTTTTCGGATTTGTTGAAGATCAAATACAGTAATGTACCCTAATGTCCATATGTATTTACTCACTTGGAACAAATTTTATCACCATGTAGAGAGAGAACACATAAATCTATTACATTGCCTCTCAATACAATTGACCTTTGTTACACTATTGGGTGAACATTTATAAGATGATTTATTCCAGTAAATAGTATAAAACAATGTTTTAAAATTTGTGTGTTGGGGGGGATGACCCATGGTGAGAAATATATATTCAACACAGTCACATATTTATATATATGTAAACAAAACAAAACTTTCACAAACTAACATTTATTCTTTTTTTTTATTATGTTATGTTAATCACCATACATCATTAGTTTTGATGTAGTGTTCCGTGATTCATTGTTTGCATATAACACCCAGTGCTCCATTTAGTACATGCCCTCTTTAATACCCATCACCAGGCTAACCCATCCTCCAACCCCTTCCCCTCTAGAACCCTCAGTTTGTTTCTCAGAGTCCATAGTCTCTCATGGGTCATCACCCCCTTCGATTTCCAACATTTATTCTAACTATAAACAATGCAGTATGATATTTTCTATTCCAGGGTATTCTATTTCATTTAAAAATACTAGTCACTATCCTTTAAATTTATTTCAGTACTTAAAAATGAGTTGTGACATGCAATTTGAAAAACACTGATACAAACTATGGCCCTGAAACAGTAACAGGAATTAAGTCACACAGAAATCACATCTTAAATCCATTTACATAGGACTCTAACCAAACGAACAAACAATAATACTATACCTTTCAATTCAATATTTTTCAATTTTTGAAATTTCTGTCATGTTAAGTGTAGGGACATATTATTATAATTACATATATTACATATCTTTTGCTAAACTATTTTTACTTTGTTTTTCTTTCCACCAGGAAAGTAATAATTTGCTCTACCTAGTTCGACTTAAGTACTTTTCTCCATGTCTTCCCAAGAAAGAAGGAACAAATACTATTATCTATGATCCTCTCCAGTTAAAACCTGCTTATGACTAAATTGAATTTGTATTCAGCTATTTTATATTATTTTTTTTATTTGACAGAGAGAAATATAGTGAGAGCAGGAACACAAGCAGGGGGAGTAGGAGCGGGAGAATCAGGCTTCCTGTCAAGCGGGGAACCTGATGTGGGGCTCAATCCCAGGACCCCGGGATCATGACCTGAGCCAAAGGCAGATGCTTAACGACTAAGCCACCCAGGCACCCCCAGCTATTTTAAAGGCAAACTCCATATAATTGGCATAACCCAAATGCATTTTATAATTTTCTACAATATGATTACTTCTAAACGTTAAGACATTTGTGTTTTGAATACAAATGTATATAAATGTAAATTGGGAATATTTCTACTCCCAAGGAAAGTTTTTAGAGGGAAGAGTTTTGCTGTCATTATTTTTACTGAACAATTACTAGAGAGCAATAGCAGAAAAAAGAGCTTTCTAGCTCAGCTCTCACATTTGAAGTGACCTTGAACGAGTACACTCTCTTGTGAAAAAGCAACTAATATGAGCTAGCACATTTAAGTGTTAAAATAGTCAGATAAAGATATATCAACAATTTCTTCTAGAATTGTTTGAAAATATCATTAAGCTCTCTATAAATGTATAAAAAATATATTTTTCTGATTTACCATAACTTTTGAGCACAGTCTTCACAGAAATAAACTTTCCTAATTTTATAAAACAAAATCTAACAGTAATCCCATTAGCAAGACAATTCAAACTTTTCATGTCCTTTTGAAAATTCTCATCCCATTTGAGATTGGGTTAATAGAAGAGAGAGCAGTTCATTTTCATTTCAGTATTCTTTCTTCCCTAGAACTATTTATCATATCAATTTTTAAAAAGCAACCATTTCCTCAATAAATGATACTGGGAGAACTGGATAGCCACATGCAAAAGAATGATACTGGACCACCTTTAACACCATACACAAAAATAAACTCAAAATGGATTAAAAACCTAAATATGAGACATGAAACCATAAAAATCCTAGAAGAGTCAAAAAGGATTAAAGACCTAAATGTGAAA